ATCCTCTTCACTCACTGTGCATAATGATAAGGAGATACACATGTAAAGCCCTTCTTGCTATAACCAAGCTCCTTTCCACCTTGTTCCCCTCCACCCTGCTTCCAACCAATTCAAAATTGCTCTTAAAGACTTAACCATATGTAGTAGGATGCCAATAATTCCCTCCATTCCTATTCAAACAGGTTGTTTCTCCTATCAAGATGAGTCTGTTGCCATCCACACTTGAATTTGGGCTTAAGCTTGTTATCTTCTCTAACCAGGAGAATGCAGAAGTGATGCTTTGCCACTTCTTGGGACATGACCCTCTGAAGGCTGGCAGCTTCCTTTTATTCTTTCAGCACCCTGAGCCACCCTGTAAGAAGCCTATGTAATTACCCTGTCTGAGAGAGAGGCCCAGCTACCCCCAGCCATTTCAACCACTCCAGCTAAAGCACCAGATGAGTTGGAGCCAATCTGGAACATTTTCGCCTCAGCTTAGCTTCTAGCAGAATGCAGCCTTAAGAGTTACCCAGTCAACACCAGGTGTAGCAGAACCACCACCCAGCTGAGTCCAACAAACTGAAAAATAATAAATCCTGTTTTAAGTCTTAAAATTTAAACCTCTAAGACTTATGTTGGTTTAATTGTGAGGCAAAAAATAACAGAATGTAAACCAGAGTGTTACACTCCCTAGGGGATATTTATATCGTAAGTATTTTCTAAGTACTAGGCAGTATGTAAATCCTTTGTAATTTGCAGGTAAGGTGGCTCAAGGGAGGAAGTTAATCCAGAAAGATCGTTCTATCAACAGAATGATTTCTAATTCATAACTTTTAAAAATTATGTGATTTATAGTGATAGTAAATAAAAGACCTATTAGTTAAAATATGTTCAAAGACTAAATTACATGCAATTAGGGGCTTGCCTATCACTCGTTCAACAGAATTGAATCACAATTTGAGATATCGGCAATTTTGTCAGCTGCCATCCTGCATTTCTGTAAGTTTCATCTAAGAGGAAAAGTATAGTGAAAAAAGAAACATCAGATCTTAGAACAACAGAATAAAAGAAGGATGATGAGTGATCTGGATATAGAAAATTAGTAGGAACAATTTTATTTAGGTTAAAATTTTTATTGTTTTATTCACACAAAACGGGAATGCTACATTTGGGGGAGGTAAAAAACTGAGTCAAACTATTTTGTATGGAAGCTCCAAAGAAGATAAAAATGATAGTAGAAGAAATGTTTCCTGCCCTCAGTTGCTAACAGTGTAAGTAATTAAACAAAGAATTTGCAAGGTGACAGATCCCTGGATGGCCTTGGCCACACCAGCTCTTCTCCCTTGCTTGCAATTTTCAGGCGTAATGTACCGAGAATGGAACAGCCTGAGATGAGGAAGCTTCCAGAACAATCTGGGCTGTGTCCTCATTTTTCCTAAAACAGGATATTCTGCAACACTTGTACTCAGCAATCTCAGTTATACCCAGGGTATAAAACCCAAAGTGTTTTTGGAGTTCCTCATCTGTGTTGCAACATGGGTTATATACAGACAAGGCTCCATCTGCCCTGGGCAGCTTTCCTGAGCCATGGGGATCAGCTAACCATGGATCTTCCATTTCTTTTTAACTTTGCCGCCTATTCATAATAAATTTTGCCTGACTTACTGTTTGAGTGTTCTGTCTCACCAGATTAGAACTAAGAACTTTTCCAAGAATCATGCAAGAGTTTGGCTGTTCAAAGTTTATAAAGTAATATCACAAAGTAGCATAGTATCATCATATTACTGCTACAGAATTCAGAGGTGGCAAACAAGTCGAATTTTTGCAGGCTAGGATTTCAACTGTATCTTAAATAGATTTGAGAAAGCAGCATGAGGAATGGATTTTAGGCAGGGAACAGGATGAGCAAAAGTATGTCTAAATTAGTCTGTCAAGACAGTTCAGTAAAAGACTAGAAGAATGGTACTTGGCAGTCAGGATCTGTGGTAGGCAAAATTCTAAGATGACCCCTAATGGTCCTTGCCCTCATAAAATCTCCCTTAAATATATCAAAACATCATGTTGTACACTAAATATATACAGTTTTTGTCCATTTCACCTTAATAGAGAAGGAAAAGGGGAAATTTCCTAACTTGACTGTGTAGGGAAAAACATGACTACGGTATCACTCCTGTGATCATAGGTTTGGATGTGGTTAGAGCCTGCCAAAACTCATGTTGAAATCAGGTACCCAATGTGGCAGCATTGGGAGTTGGGGCCTAGTGGGAGGTTTCTGGGTCATGGGGGTAGATCTGTCATGAACAGATTAATGCCCTCACATGGGAGTGAGTTCTTGCTCTCAGGAATGAATTAGTTCTCGTGGGAATGGGTTGTTAAAGAGTCTGGCTTCCTTGATTTCTCTCTCTTGCTGCTTCTCTCAACATGTGATATCTGGACACCCACTCCCCTTCTGCTTTCCTCCATAAGTGGAAGCAGCATGAGCCCCTTACCAGATGCAGCTGCCCAATCTTGGACTTTTCAGCCACCAGAATCATAAGCCAATTAAACCTCTTTTCTTTTTAAATTGCCCAGCTTTAGGTATTCTGTGATACCAACACAAAATGGACTACAATAATGTTATATGGCAAACAAAATTTTTACAGATGTCATTAAAGTTACTAATCAGTTTATTTGAAGTTAATAAAAAAGGGGTATTATTCAAATGGATCTAATCAGCTCACATGAGCCCTCTAAGTCTGGGCTTAGAGATAGAGGAATTCAAGAGATTTCAACAGTAGAAATATTCTCCTGCTTGCCTTGAAGGAATAACTGCCATTGTGAGAGCCACATGACGAAATTGTGGGTAGCATCAGTGTTCATGGCCACAATCGGCAGCCAGTAATAAAATGGAGCCCTCAGTCCTGCAATGGCAATAAACTGAATTCTGCCAAGGACATGAAATATGAGCCTGGAACAGGACGAGGACCCCCAAGCCTCAGATGAGATTGCAGCCTTGATATGAGTCTTGTGATACTGAGCAGAGAACTGTTAACACAACCAGAAGACTCCTGCCCCAAGGAAACTGTGAGATAATGTGTTAAGCTAAGTTGGTGGCAATTGTTACACAGCATTAGAAAATTAATACAGGATCCCAAAAGAGTTACCATCTACAAAAAATAAGTAGATGGTATAATAAAGCTATAGAAGCTATAATTCCACCCCTCTAGAGGTTAACTTGCGAAGGTCAAAGAAATTGCTGATAGCAAAATATGTGATGCTGGGGTTTTTCTCAAATTCCTCAGTATCCTTCATTCATTCTCAAGCTCTCAGATATAGAGTCAGGTGGATCTGGGTCCAAACCTGAACTCTACCACTTAGCAATATGATCTTGGCCAACTTACTTAATTAGCCAAAGCTTGGTAAGTTGTGATGACTAACAGGAACTATGCACGTATGGGACCCAGGATGTATTAAACACTCAAGAAATGTTTGATGATGATGATGATGTCAGCATTATACACGAGAAATAGGGTTGACCTCTATGCCCCAAAATAAGATGCTGAGACCAAAGGGATTCCATCATTTGCCACTTCTCTATTTTAAAATTCTGCAACACTCCCTATTGCCTATGTCTAAACTCCAAGAAATCCTTACAACATGCCACTGACTTCACCTTTTCACACTTATTGCTTATTCTGCCTGAACCAGCACCAGAGCTCCAAGCCTTTTTTTCACCTGGTTGACTGCCTTCTCCTGTACATATGCTTCATATACCCCCATTATCCTGTATTTTAATTGTTAAACTGCCAATAATATCCCACTATATTGCACACCACTCAGGGGATACATTTCCATACCCAGATAATATAAGCCTACCAGGCACAAAGCAAATAAGCCATGGATTTTTAATGAAATGAATGTTCCATCTTCAGGCCTTTAAGAAAAGCTGTTCTTGGAATAATATTTTTTTAAAAACCACTAGTGTTGTTTCTATAGCATGAAGTGGTGTTTAAACACTTAGCAAATGCTCTCCTGCACACACTTGTGCAGGGACGTGGTTAAGCAATATTCTCATCCTTTTCCCAAGGAGAAAACCAAAAGCATACCAACCTTAACACACAAAATTAGAGGGCAATCCTGAAAGACCTAAAATCACATATCTAGCAAGAAGCTAGCAGCCAAGCTAGTCGCTTGCCCGCCTGTTGGTTTATTAGAGGGAAGTGGATCTCAAACTTTAATATGCATACCAGTCACCGGAGGCTGTTGTTAAAATGAAGTCTGATTCAGCAGGTTGCTTGCATGTCTAAAAAGCTCCCAGATAATGCCAGTGCTTCTGGTATCCAGACCTAGACCTCAAGCCTCGACCTGTGCTGAGCAGTACGGTGGCCACATGAGCCTATTAAGCCCCTGAAATATGACTAGATAAGCTGTCAGTGTAGAATACCGATTTCCAAGACTTGGTTAAAAAATAAATAGAATATTTCCATGATTTGTACAGATCACATTGAATTAATATTTTGTGTACTTTCAGTTAAATAAAATGTACTACTATGGTTACTTCCCTCTATATTTTACATTCCACACGTGGCTCTCATTATAGCGCTACTGGACAACAGTGCCCTAGACTAACAACCGTCTCCATTCTGAAGATTCCACTGTTGGGATACTTTAGGAATAAAAGCAACACCTCTCTTCCCTTAGGTATTTCGAAAGCACACCTTTTGTTCCTCAGCTATTTACACTATCAGAAATGAAACGTTTTAAAAAGCAAAGATTTAAAAAACAACAAAACTAGTTCTCTCACTTCTGCCTAAGCTCCATCTAAGCCACTGCTTTTCTCCCTCCGGTTCCCACGCTCCGAGATCGCATCGCCCACAGAAAAACAATAAACAAAAAGCGGTCTCCATTCCTGAAGCCAAGATGGGAGAGCTGCCGAAGGTCCCGCTTCCCAGACGCCCAAACCCAGGCAGAGGAAACCTGGTAGTAGCCAAGCGACGCCCTCTTGGCGGCTTCCCCTCCTCCTCCCCAAGCGCCGACCTCTCCAAGATGGCAGGCGTCGGAGACTCGCTTCCGCTTCCGGTGTAAGCGGCCCGGCCGGGGGGGCAAGATGGCGGCGGCAGTAGGGGTCCGTGGACGGTACGAGCTGCCGCCTTGCTCCGGCCCAGGCTGGCTCTTCAGCCTTTCCACCTTGCTGAGTGTGGCGGCACGAGGAGCCTTCGCCACCACGCACTGGGTCGTCACGGAGGATGGGAAGATCCAGCAGCAGGTAGCGGCCAGGGCGTCCCTCTTCGCCCGTGCCCGCCCTCGCCCCGGGGGGATTCCCCTGCTTGGCCCCTGGCTGTTGGGCTCCGCGCGGCCCCTCCGGCAGCCTACCTTCACTCCGTGGTGGTGGAGGCACGGCAACCCCGGACTCCCTGCACTCGGACCAGGCAGTTCCCCCTCCCCACTTGTCTCCTGGTCCTCGTTTGGCCGCCTGGAAGTTCTCACCCTTCCACCTCGCGGGCCGCGTGCCGCGTGGGGAAGCGTCACCCAGCTGCGGGGAGACGGGCCCTAGAAACCTTTTCTTGCGCTCGGGGTTTAGAAATCACAGATTTCATTATTCCTGCCTGTGGTGCCTCTCGGGCTCACGCGTCACCGGCCCTCCCGAGGAAATAGAAAGCAGGTGGCAGCGCCAGGGTGTGCGCGAGTCCCAGGGTGTGACAGCTGCTGCACCCCTAGCCTGTGGACTGTTTCATGCTGCTCCCCTAGTCTCGTCTACCACATGGTGGATTTCGTTTCTGGCTGTGTTGGTTTGAGTTTGTACCGTTACTCAGGTCAGCAGTGGCTCATGAGAAACAGCATAGAAACACTCCCCTTCCGAAGGAATGCTTGAAGATGCCGCTGGTGGCGTTGCCTGCATCTTTTCAGCTGTTACTGCCCTCGTTTCCCAGTGTACTTTGCTTTGTTTCTTTACCTAGTTCCTGTGACCCAGCCTCGCATGGAGGATATGCGATTTCCTGGATTCTTGCATGCCTCAACTAATTTCCTCAGAGGCGAGACTGCTTTTCTTATATAACTTTATGATTGCCTGCATTTTGTAAATGCTGCTGATGCCTAAGGAGTGCGTATGTGTGTGTTCCGCTACAGAATCTTGGTAAACTTACTGACTAGGAACACTTGAGAACAATCTTGAAGTGTCTAACAAACATTTAGAAAGTGAAGTGTGTGCCCCATGCAGTTTAGCTGACTGATCTAAAACGTTTTAACTAGTGTGGTGGGAAATTACTGGTCCTTTGGGTTGCGTGTAATGAGTTATGATAGGAACACATTGCAAGGTCTACTTTAAGGTGAGGTTTAGATTTAGATTTGCCGAGTGATGGCAAATTGTATCTCAAATACAATAAGCAAGTTAAATATAATTTAAAATCCACTTAGGTATTCATGAGTGGTTTTCAGCATTATCTGAGAAAAGACCATCTTCCTATTGGGTAACATTTTCTATATGACTTAAATAAGAAAAGTTTCCTTTTCATGGCCATACTAGTTGAGACTTTAAATATGTGTGTATGTGTTTCAGAAACCCAAGAAAACACTAAGTCTATATGTGAGTGCTGGTTGCTTCCACACTTCTTTTGTTTCCTGATAGTGGTTTTCCCTGAGGTCCCTATGAAGGGAGATGTGGAATTAACTCCTGCTGCAATTTGGGGAGCTTTTCTCCTATTGGCTCTTCTGCAATATTGTTTTTGGCCACAGCTATTTATACTCTGTGACATTGACTTCTCCTTCCCATTTTGGTGTCCTATCGCTCAGCTGAAAAAGTAGCCCATCTAAAGTGAAAGCTAGTAAAAATGTTTTATGTATATGCTTAACGTTGCAATGGGAAAA